TCTGTATTTAATAGTCTGATTATACTATTCAGTAGTCTCTCTGTCTTGATAGTTCTTTGTTGAATATGATATTTAAAATTCAACTTAAAGTGTAATTATACTTCTAGTCATTTAACATTCAAACTGAGTTTAATCTCTTTATTCAAAAGAGTTAGACTTAGTTTTTTCTCATTAAATCTGAGAAAAAAGTGAATTAACTGAGTTTTATTCATATTAAATTGAATTAGATTGATATCTGCTTTAACAAAGATTTTTTTTGATGTTTTTTCAATCACTTCTAAATTCTCTTTGATTATTTTTAAACTGTAGACTAGAGTAATATTATTTATATAACTTGAAGATCTCACTATTTTCATCTCTCTATTCTTGAATAGATATGTAGTGTATATTATAAATAAAATAGATGAGATTGAAGATTCTTATAATACTTTTATTTTTATCTCAGTCTTATCTTATTTCATTTCATCAAAGACTAGTTATATTATTCTTTTAGATATAAAAGAGTTAACTTATTTTATAGAGAAAGTGACAGTTTTAACATCTTCAAAGTTGAATTATCTTTGACTTTAAAATATGATCAAATGCATCTTTATATTAATAAAAACTGCAGTGAGATCAGTTCTTCATGCTTTACTATTTAAATATCATGAATAACTGAAAGAATAGTATCAATTGTAGAGTATTGTTTTCTATCTCTCATTTATTCACTAAATAGAAGAGAATTACTAATCAGCTTATAAAAGATAGTCTAGTAGCTATTATCTTTTCTAAAATCTTTCTCAGACAGTTTAATAGAGATATTACTCTATATAACTTAGAAATTAAAGCTTTTCTGTTAGATTTTATAAGAATCACTTAAGTGAGTTCTCTTCAGCATTCAGAATGATAATCATTTTTCAAGAGATTGAAAAAGAGCTCAAAATATTCATTCTTCAAGTAGAAATATATATTTTAAATAATTAAGTGATTGATTGAATCAGGCTCAGCAGCAGTTTTAATTGAACTTGAGAAGATAGTTGACTCTAGTTCATTTTATATAAGTTCAGATCATTCTCTGTCATTTTCATTAATATAGTTATGAAGTAATATATTCTCTTTCTTCAAATCTAAATCTGATAAGTTTTGAAAGATAATTCTTATAAAAGATTAATATTTTTTCTTAAAAGAATTTACTATATATAATTTATTCTGAAACTCATATTCTAAGACTCAAAGCTTTACTACACTTCTTGTTGTAGTATAGTTGAAGACTTTAAAAACTTCTTTTCTTTATACTTCTTCAAGAAATTTTTTTCAGCAGTCTGTTTTAGCTCTTTTAATATCTGAAAAATATTCATTTCTGATAGCTTTGAACTCTATATTATATATTATATTATTATTTCAATCTCTTCTAACAGTAACTAATTATTTTCTTTTAGATATGATATTCTTATTTCATCAAGATTTGAAATACTCAGAAGATTTCTTCTTTGAAATATTATCTTTAATACTTGTTAGAATAATAGATATAATCAGCTTTACTCTACTCTTAAGCATTTCATTTGAGATATCTTGACTGAGATTTCAATAGAGCTTACTTTGCTTTTCAGATTTTAATAATTTTATACTTTCTTTAACTACTTTTCAATCAGCTTTTTCAGAGTTGTACTGATTAGAGAGAAGAGAATTATCACTTATTTATTTTTCACTCAGTTTAATATTAAATTGAATAGCCTCATGATCTGATTCTGATGTCTCATTTGAATTAATAAATCAGATTATAAGTCTTTTATCAATTAGATTTTATAATATGAAGATTAGATCTATAATAGATTTTTGTTTCATCTCTTTTCTAAAGAATGTTTATTAATCAGACTTGTTAAGTAAATCTATTGAATATTTAAAACTTTATTTGACTAGTTTATCTACTTTTAGTGCTCTTTTACATTCTGAATTTTATTAGAGATAATGTGTATTGAAATCTTCTACAATTATAGAGTTTTTTAATGAAATTATGTTCAAAAATTCTCTATTAATTATTCAGATATTGTTATTTTTCTTCAATGACTTTTCATTATAGATATTTATAAGCTATATAGTATTAAACTCATTCTCTTTATCTATAATATCACTCACTAGAGTATTAGAGTCAGATATGATATCAAATCTTAGATTAAATTAATATCTTAAGCTTTTTCTTTCATAGATCACTTCTCTTGACTTTATCTCAAACTTTGAAGATAGAAAGCAGTAGTAGCTTGAATAAGAAATAATATACTTTTGCTTAGCATTAAAATTCAGTTTCTGAAGAAGTATAAAAGCAACTTTTTATTCAAATACACTTTGAAGATAAGAATAAATATAATTTGAGTTTCTATTCACATTGTTTTAAATAAATGTGATTTTTGAAGAGTTTTCAAACTTTTTTTATTGTTTTTATTATATATTCATATTAAAGAAGAGTAGAGATAGAGTAGAATGTAATCACTATTATCAGATAGTAGATTATAACTGTTTTGAAAAGTAGAAATCTCAACTACTTGCATTATATCTAGTTTATCATCAGAGTTATTTCTCAATTCTCTAATCTTAGCAGCAGTTTGAGAATTCAAATTCTGATTATATTTAGCTGAAGAATTAAAGTTTGAAGATTTAGATAGTTGAGAGTTTCTTCTTTTTGAGCTTGCAGTTGTAGATTTACTGGCTTGACTATCTTCAGTTCTAGATTGACTTTGAGCTTTCTCTTTTCTTCAGTTCTTTTGAGTTCTTAAAGCAAACATTTATTCTTTTGAGCTAGATGCATGTTTTTCTTCATAATTAGAGTATTTAAGTAGAGTATATTAACATATTTCATCTCTTTTTGAGCATGTTTAATATTTATACTTACTAGTATTGTGATCTCTAGCACAGAATGTGTATTTTAAGTCTCTGAAATCAACCGCTTCACGACGAACTCGCTCAATCTTTCAAATAAGAACCCGCTGATAGATTCATTGAAAAGCCCTCAATTATATGAGCATTTTGACCCCATCGCCAACCGCATACCCCGTGTGGTGATGGAGCTATCAAGCTAAACATGAACCAGATATCATTTGAAACTTCTGTGTGAGATTATCCCACATTCGCCCCTACTACACCACAACCCCGGGTCAAATTGCCATACAAATTGTAAGATGAAGAGACCTAGCTTTATGTGCTAATCTTCTCTATTTTGAAAGATTTCTGATCTGTAATTGTGAAGATATCTGAAGAGCAATCCCCGCGAAAACGCTGTCAATCTATGATGTTTCAAAACATCAATGTCAAGTCTCACTCACATATCACTGTTCTCAATCTGGCTCATTTTAAGCGGAAATATACAAAAAGATATCTCAGGAATAATATCAAGTACATAATCAGTAAACACATCTGAAGTGCAATCTTTCTAAAAACTGAAGTACATTCTTCTGTGAAAACCCTGTCTATCTTTGATATTTCAAAACATTAATATCAAGTTTTACTCACATATCACTCTTCTCAATCTGGCTCATCTTCAGTAAAAAGATACAAAAAGATACCTCAGTAATAGTATTAAGTATATAATTAACAGATACATCTAAAGTAAAATCTTCATATCTGTCTTTGATGTATTAAGACATTAACATCAAGTCTCACTCATGTATCATCTTATTCAACCTGGCCTATCTTCAGCAGAAAGATATAAAAAGATATCTTATCAACAATATTTAATATATAACTGACAGATACAACAACTATAAAATCAGTATATCTTAAGATCTGACTGAGCCTTTGATCTCTGCATAGTGAGATATATTAAATCTAGTTTTAATATCTTAATATTCAATAGATTTAGCAAGAGATTGAGAACAGCAACACTAGATTTCTATTAAATTTAAGAATTAACTCTATATTAATATAATCATTGACAAAGTCTTCTATTTTAAGATATAAATAATCAGTTTCTCTACATCTCACTGACAATAGTTAGATTGTTATATAGAAACACGCTTATATTCTCTATAATATTAAGACTCTCAAGGGAGAATGTCTTGATAAAGAGTATATAATAGTATATATCTTAGCAGTTTCTATCTTATTTTTCTGCAGCAGTTAATGTAAAAAAGAAAGATCTTAGAATTAGTTTTTTACTTCTCTTGAAAAAGTAAGATATTTTTCTCTGAGTTTTACACAATATTCTTATAAAGAATTAAAAACAGAGTTATTTTCTATCATAATTTTATTTTCTTTTAAGTAAGAATTACTTTTTCAGTGACTGAAGAGCTCTTCTTAATTCTTAGTTCTTTTTTACACTCTTTATTAACTGATTTAGTTGCACACTTATTGTGTGAGAAGAATTGAATGATTTAGAATAAAATTAAATAGTTTTAATCAATTTCTCTGTAAAAAATTAACTTACTTTTTATCAGCTTTTCTCTCAAAAACTGTTGTATTATCTGATTTATTATTAATTAATATCATACTTTTCCTCACTGTATTTCAAGAAAGAGATTATAAAGATTTTATTAATTTATCTTAAAAATCAATTTTAGTTTATTAGATTCTCTTCAAAAATCTAATCTACTTACTGAACTAGTGTGAAAAAAAATCAGATATTTTATATATAAAAGTCTTTCATACTTCTTTTAAAATAGTCTGATTAACTTTTCAATTGAAAATAGACTCATAAATCTCACAATTGAAACAGTCTAACTAGTCTTTCATTGAGTGAGAAAAATGAGTTCAAAAATACACTTAGTTGATGTGAGAAAATATGCTTTTTCAGATACTATTTCTGAGATTGAAATTCTGAAGAGAAGAAAGAAAGAAGAAACAGAGAAATAACAAGTTCTTGAAATATAAGAGCTAGAAAAAGTCAGTAAAATTCTTAGAAAACAGTGTCTGATTGAGATGAATGAAGAAGTTCTATTAATTCTTTATATACAGACTAGATAACTACAGAAAGTAATTAAGTTCAAGCTTGAAACTTCAAATACAGTTTAAAAAATATTGAAAATTTCTAGTATAATTACTGACTCTTCTTCATCTTTTTCTTTCTCAAATCAAAAAAAAACATATACTCAAGTAGTAAAATCTGCTATTTCTAAATCTACTGTCTCAAAACCTGCTCCAAACTATGAAAATACTCAGAGAAAAAACACTCACACTTCTCTTTATAGAAAAGAAGAGAAGAAAATGTAAAAGAGAAAAATGTTCAAATCTTCAGAAAGAGAAGACTTATTCTAAAAATCTTAAATAGAGAGATTTTACAGAAGAATAAGCTGAACTGAAATTTCATTTTTAAAATTAGAAATGAAATCAATCAGCAGTTCTTTTCTCAGTTAATATATAATATTGAAGTTTAAAAATCAGTTATAGCCTTAATTGAGCTATCTTTCTTTGAAAATTCCATTATTCTAACTACAATGTTTAAATTCAGCATGTCATTTCTTATTAAAAGAGAGAATATCTGAAAATCAGTAACAGAATCTCTGTTAAATACAATAATTCTATCTAAGAGAGATGAAAATTGAGATAAATTTATTCTTTATAATATTTCAGTTAAAATTTTTGACTGTGAGAAAGAAAGACTACTTTTCAAAAATGAGTTAGAAGAATATAATTCTATTCAACTGAGAAAGAAGTCTGTATAACTGAATTTAATTGAATTCAGACAAATCAGAAGAAATGTCTCTATTCTAGTTTATATAAAAACACTTAAACAATCAAAAATTTCTGAAGTGAGAGTGACAGATTTGAAAATGAGAGTTCATAAAAATAAAGACTTGAGAATGAATTTCAAAGCATCAACACAGTGTGTAGACTGTTAAATATATGAACACTTTGTAATCTCTTATTTCAGAGCCTTAAAATGTGAATTCTGTGTCAAAGATTATAAAACTAGCAAGCATAAATGTGAAATATGATCAAAAAGAGATGAAATATGTTAATATACTCTGTTTAAATGCCCTAACTGCAAAGAAAAGCATGTATCTAGTTCAAAGAAATGCATATTTACTTCTAGAATTCAAAAGAACTGAAGAAAAGAAGAAGCTTAAAATCAATCTAAAACTAAAGATAATAGTCAAGTCAGTAAATCTGCAACTACAAGCTTAAAGAGAAGAAAATCTTAATTATTTAAATTCTCAAACTCAAATTCTTCAGCTAAACATAAACAGAATGTGAATTCTTAAATATCTGTTAAAATTAGAGAATTGAGTAATAACTCTGTTGATAAACTAGAAAGAATGCAAGCAGTTGAAATTCCTACTTTTCAAAACAGTTATAATCTACTATTAGATAATAGTGATTAGATTCTACTCTATTTCTACTCTCTTTTAGTATGAATATACACAAGAATAATAAAAAAAGTATAAAAATTCTTCAAAAATCATATTTACTTAAAACAGTATAAATAGAAACTTAAATTGTATTTATTCTTATCTTCAGATTGCACTTAAATAAAAAGTTCACTTTATTCTTCATAAAGAATCAAACTTTGATACTGAGCAAAAGTACATCATTTCTCATTTAAGTTAATACTACTTTCTATCTGAAAAATCTGAGATAAAATCAAGAGTAGTAATTTATAACAGAAAAAGATCAAGATATTAATTTAATCTGAGATTTAGTATTATATTTGACTCCGATATTCTAGTGAGTGATATTATAGATAAAGAGAATGAGTTTGTTATTATACAACTTATAAATGTCTATAATGAAATATCATTGAAAGAAAATAATAATATCTGAATAATTAATAGAGAATTTTTAAATATAATTCTCTTAAAAAACTCTACAATTATAGAAGACTTCAATACATATCATCTCTGATGAAATTGAAAATACAGAAGAGCAGTAAGAGTAGATAAACTAGTTGAATGAACTTTTAAGCATTCAATAGATTTAGTTAATAAGTCTCATTAAAAACATTCTTTAGAAAAGATATGAAATAGAAATCTATTATAAATCTAACTTTCACATTATAAAATCTAATTGAAAAAAGACTTATAAACTGTTTTATTAATTTAAATGAGATCTCAGAATCAGATCATGAGTTTATTCAATTTAATATTGAACTGAGTGAAAAATAAATAAGTGAAAATTCTCTTCTTTTTAATTAATTTAACTTTGAACAAGCTGATTGAAAAGCAGTTGAAGAAAGAATAAAACAGCTGAAATCTGAAAAGCAGAGTGAGCTCTATTGAAATCAGTGTCAAGATATCTCAAATGAAATGCTTAAGAATAAAGTAAAGCTGATTATATCTTTTCCTCTAACAAGTATTAGAGAAAGTATTTCAAAGAAAAAGTCTTCTAAGTATTTCAAATCTTGATGAAATGAGAATATCACTTCTAAACAAAAACAATTAATCACTGCTAAGAGAGATTGAAAGAATAACTTAATATCTGATAAAGAGTTTAAAGCTATCAGAAATGAATATTTTTCAGATATTAAAAGACCTAAAACAGACTGCTGAAACAAATTTCTTGAAGAAGTATAAGAACAAGAGATTTTTAAAGCTTTGAACTATACTAAAACAAGAAGTGTAGTAAAGCATTCAATCTTAGAATATGAGTTTTAGAATAAATTATATACAGCAAACTCTTTTAAGAAAAAGTGTTAAGCTTTTATAAGAATTCTCTTTTAAAATTCATTACATTCAGAAGAGAAGAATATATCATTTCATGATAATATTAATGAAAGTAACTGAGAATAGCCTGAGCTTATATATAATGAATCAGAGTCAGCTGTATTTTCAAGTTCAATTAAAACTGCTTTAGAACCTGATTCAATCAATCACTTAATTATTCAAAATACATATTTCAACTTGAAGAATGAATATTTTGAGCTCTTTTTTAATCTCTTAAAAAATGATTATCATTCTGAATGCTGAAGAGAAGCTACTGAAGTGATTCTTATAAAATCTAATAGACAAGCTTTAATTTCTAAGTTATATAGAGTAATATCTCTTTTGAACTGTCTGAAAAAGATTTTAGAAAAGATAATAGCTACTAGACTCTCTTTTATAAGCTCTATTAGTGATTCACGTCTTTTTGATAAATAAATGAGAGATAGAAAACAATGTTCTGTAATTCACACTGTTTTTTCAGTTATTTATAATATTTAAATAGCAAAGTATGAAAGTCTAGACTGACTGTATGATTATGTCTGAAATCAGAAGTAAAATATTTAATGATCTCATTATCAATTTGATTGATTTCATTACACAGTGTTAAGATTAGATAGTAGTCTTATACTGTTTCAGTGAGACTTACTGTCTACTCTTATCACATTTTTCAAATGAGATCATGATTTTCACTTCTCAGTTTAAATACTTTTTATTACTTTAAATGAGTTTAAATCATATTTAAGTATTATCAAAAAGTGTTACTTTTTAAAAAATTAAAAATAGTCTAAACAAAACCTTAAAATATCTAAAAATAGTAACTTTATGTCAAGAATTAAACTAAATGAGATTAAATGAGATTACTTGCTTGTTTTTTTTAAGTCATAATCTCATTTTTAGATCTGATGAATAGTTACTTTGTATGTTTTTTTAATGATTAGTCCCACTGGGATTCATGCTAAGAAATGTATGAGATCAGATCAAATGAAATTAAACATGAAATTCATAATCTCAGTGATCAGTCTATGAATGCCTGGTCTCAACTGCAGTTTTTATTAATATAACAGATGCATTTGATCATGTTTCAAAGTCAAAGATGATTCAAACTTTGAAGATGTTAAAACTGCCACATTCTCTAATAAAATGAGTTAACTGTTTTATATCTAAAAGAATTATACAACTATTCTTTGATGAAATGAAACAAGATAAAACTGAGATAAAAATAGAAGTATTATAAGAATTTTTCAATCTCATCTATTTAATTTATAATATACACTGCATATCTAGTTAAGAATAGAGATATGAAAATAGTGAGATTTTCAAGCTATATAAATAATATTAATCTAGTCTACAGTTCAAAGACAATTAAAGAGAATTTAGAAGTTACTGAAAAAGCAGTAAAGAAAATCTTTATTAGAGTAGATATCAATCTAATTCACTTTAATATGAATAAAGCTGAGCTAATTCACTTTTTTTCCAGATTTAATGAGAAAAAACTAAGTCTAACTCTTTTAAATAAAGAGATTAAACTCAGTTTAAATATCAAATGACTAGAAGTATAATTAAACTTCAAGTTGAAATTTAAATATCATATTCAATAAAGAATTATAAAGACAGAGAGACTGCTGAAGAATGTAATTAGACTGTTAAATACTGAGAGAGATTTATTCTTTCAGACTATGAGATAGTTATATGTAGTCTGTATCAACTCAGTAATCACTTATAAAGTTCAAGTTTGATGAAATAATCAAGATAATTTCACTGAACTATTTCAAAGTCTGCGAAACCGAGCATTGAGAAGAATTCTGAAAGTATTTAAATCATCTTCTATTAAAGCAGGAACCGCTCCACCACAAACTCACTTGATTTTTCAAATAAGAACCCCCTGATAGATCCATCAAAAAGCCCTCAATCATATGAGCATTTTGACCCCATCGCCGACCGCATACCCCGTGTGGTGGTGGAGTTATCCAGCCAAACATGAACCAGACGTTGTTCGAAACTCCTGTGTGGGATTATCCCCCGTTCACCCCTACCACACCACAACCCCAGGCCAAATTGCCATACAAATTGTAAGGTGAAGAGACCTAGCCATATGCACCAATCTTCTTGATTTTGAAAGATCCTTGATCTGTAATTGTGAAGATATCTGAGGAGTGATCTCTGCGAAAACCCTGTTCATCTTTGATGTTCCAAAACATCAACACCAAGTCCCACCCTTGTACCGCCCTTCTCAATCTGGCCCATCCCCGGCAGGAAAACACAAAAAGATACCTCAGTAACAGCATTCAATACATAATCAGTGAATAATGAGTCAACAGCACATCAACAACTATAAAATCAGTATATTTCAAGATCTGACTAAGTCTTTGATCACTGCACAGTGAGATATATTAAATCTAGTTTTAATATCACAATATTCAATAGATTCTGTAAGAGATTGAGAACAGCAATACTTGATTTCTATTGAATTTGAGACTTAACTCTATATTAATATAATCATTGACAAAGTCTTCTATTTTGAGATATAAATAACCAGTTTCTCTACATCCTGCTGACAATACTTATATTATTATATAGAAACAGACTTATATTCTCTATAATATCAAGACTCTAAAGAGAGAAAGTCTTGATAGAGAGTATACAGTAGTATATATTCTAGCAGTTTCTATCTCATTCTTCTGCAGCAGTTAATGCAAAAAAAAAAAAGATCTTAGAAATAGCTTTTTACTTCTCTTGAAAAAGTAAGATGTTTTTCTCTGAATTTTAGACAATATTCTTACAAAGAATTAAAAACAGAGTTATTTTCTGTTATAATTTCACATTCTTTTAAGTAAGAATTACTTTTTCAGTGACTGAAGAGCTTTCATTAATACTTAATTCTTTTTTACACTCTTTATTAACTGATTTAAGTTGCACACTTGTTGTGTGAGAAGAATTGAATGATTTAGAATAAAATTAAATAGTTTTAATCAATTTCTCTGTAAAAAATTGATTTATTTTTTATCAGTTTTTCTCTCAAAAACTGTCATATTATCTGATTTATTATTAATTGATATCATACTGTTTCTCACTCTATTGCAAGAAAGAGATTGTAAAGATTTTATTGATTTATCTTAAAAATCAATTTTAGTTTATTAGATTCTCTTTAAAAATCTAACCTAAGTACTGAACTAGTGTGAAAAAAAATCAGATATTTTATACATAAAAGTCTTTTATTCTTCTTCTAAAATAGTCTGACCAACTTTTCAATTGAAAACAGACTTAAAAATCTCTTAATTGAAACAGTCTGACTAACTTTTCAATTTAAAAGAGTTCAACAAATCTCTCAATTGAAACAGTCTGATCAACTTTTCATTGAGTGAGAATAATGAGTTCAAAAATACACTCAGTTAATGTGAAAAAAGATGCTTTCTCAAATACTATTTCTGAGATTGAAATTCTGAAGAGAAGAAAGAAAGAAGAAATAGAGAAACAACAAGTTCTTAAAATGCATAAACTTGAAAAAGTAAGTATGATTCTTGAAAAGCAGTGTCTGAATAAGATAAATGAAGAAGTTCTCTTAATTCTTCATGCTTAGACTATACAACTACAGAAGATGATCAAGTTCAAACTTGAAATTTCAAACACAGTTCAAAAAACATTGAAAATTTCTAGTATAATCACTGACTCTTCACTTTACTATTCTTCTTTTTCTACTTCTTCTTCTTCTTCTTCAAATCAGAAGAAAACATATACTCAAGCAGCTGAATCTGCTGTCTCTAAATCTGCTATCTCAAAATCAGCTCAAAATCCTGAGAAAACTGAGAACAATACTGCTCATACTTCTATTCATAAAAAAGTGAAAAAAAAATGTAAAAAGAGAAAAACTTTCAAATCTTCAGAAATAGAAGACTTATTCTCAAAGTCTCAAATTCAGACATCTTACAGAGAAACAAGCTAAACTTAAATCTCATTTTAGGAATCAGAAATGAAATTAATCAGTAGTTCTTTTTCTCAGTTAATAACTGATATTGAAGTGCAAAAACTAGTATAGCTTCATTGAGTCATTCTTCTTTAGAAACTCAATCATTCTGACTACAATGTCTGAATTCAGTGCAGAATTTCTTATTCAGAATAAGAATCTCTGAAAATCAGTAGTAGAATCTTTGTTAAATACAATAATTCTATCTAAAAGAGATGAAAAGTGAGATAAATTTATTCTTTATAATATTTCAGTTGAAATTTTTGACTGTGAAGAAGAAATACTACTTCTTAAAAATGAATTAGAAGAATATAACTCTATTCAACTGAGAAAAGAGTCTATATAACTAATTGTTAAA